GCTCGTGAAGATGGGCCCCTCAGGTTGACCTCTGGCCTACACACAGAGAGAGAGAGAGAGAGAGAGAGAGAGAGAGAGAGAGAGACCGAGACCAGGAGCAGTGTCCAGCCTGTGAAGCAGCTTACCTCCCTTGCCTGTGTCTACTCCCTGCACAGCCCCATGAGAGGCCCCTGTAGTTCTCAGGGCAGAAACACACCAGCAGGGGATTCTGGGAAGGGAAATTCCCTAGCCGAGTGGGCGCATCACACAGCCCCTGCACTTTCTAAAAAGAATAATGTGGTTTCAATTTATATCCACTTGAAAACTATTGAGAAGTGATTCGTAGTGCAGGTGAGAGTTGTATAAAAGTCAAGGTGGTCCCATGTTCTGGGTGATTGAATAAATGGGTACAGACTTGTGAATAGAAGAGGGGGGGTGCATAAGTTAGGAGTCATGGGGCTCTCCACCCCGCCCACCAGGCTAGAATAAAGAATTATAACCATTGGTGTGGGGGGGTCATAGCTGGAAACGACCTAAACAGCAAAAAACTACCAATGACAGCATCATTTTTTTTAAATACAGGGTCCAGGTTGATCTCAAACTCACTGTGTAGCCAAGGATGACCTTGAATTTCTGATCCTCTTGTTCCCACCTCCCAAGTGCTGGGATTACAGTGTACACCACCATGCCAGGTTGATGCCGTGCTGGGGATTGAACCCAGGGCTTCAGCACATGCTAGGCGAGCACTCTACCCACCTGCTGAGCCACATCCCTACCCGCTTGTAATCACTGCCTGCTGTTTATGCAGCTCTAGCAACATGGCAAATACTTGCAGTATGAAGAAAAGCAGAGACCCCAGGTGCCTGTGTGCTGTGCCTGCATGGACGTAACAAGCCACTAGGGAGCAGGGGTCAATGCGCAGGGCCTGGAGATGTCCCTGACCTCCAGGAAAGCCCTGGCGGACGCTGGCAGTCGCCCTCCACACCGCCACTGGCGTTAGGCAAACAGGCTCAGACACCATAGGTCACATGGCCAGTTTCTCCCTGTCAAGTGGCATCCCCAGGACTGAAGCTAGACCGATTCGGCTCTGCATCCTCTTCCACCCACTGTCTCCTCTGTCCCCCATCCTCCTGGGTCTCTGTGGCCAGGGGAACAGCCGCCTGCTCACCGCTTTTGGCAGATTCATCCAGTTTTTCAGGTTAGGAACCTGGCAGAGCTTTCTATTCCCCTGACAAGTCCATTTGTGTTAGGAGGCAGAGATTTCCAAATTGATTTCAGAGGCGGCTCCCTGGTGGTGGGTCCCAGCAGGTCAGAGGTGCTCCAGGCCTGGCCGCTAAGCTCTTCCTTCTCACCTCAGAACAGCTAGGAAGTCAGGCGAGGTAGTCTGAGGCAAAGGCATCCTGGAGGGGGGGGGGAAGCCAGTGTACCATTCCTCCTCCACGGAAGTGATACCTGGACACTGCAGGATGGAGGGACAGAGTCCCTTTTCATGTCCTCCCTCCGAAGAAGGACTGGCTGGCAGGCTGCTTTGCTGAATCAGATCCCTAGGAGGGCAGATGATCTGGAAGACAGCCTTGCTTCGCTCCCCCACTCCTCAGACCCACGCTTCTCATACGATGACGTGGTGGCCGCAGTTACTCCCATCTTGGTCTTTGGCTGCTAATAGAATGCCACAGATTGAGTGACTGATAAAGAAACGTATTTATCAGGGTTCGGGAGGCTGGGAACTCTGATATAAAGGTACGGCACCTGGCGAGGCCATTTCCAAACAGCACACCTCGGTAGAGGGCGGGGAGAGCAGGAGGTGGAGCATCCCACTGTCAGCAGCCGGCCCACTTCCACAGTCACAAAAGCAGCTCAGTCCCCTGGGCAGGTGGCACTCCAGTTCTGGTGGCTTCTTAAAGGTCCCCCCTCCTAATTTCAGCCTCACCTCAACACAAGCATTCAAACCATGGCACTGACCCACCAGAAGCACAGTCTGTTTCCTACCCTTGGCTCTGGCTAGTCTTGGGACACGTTTTACTGATATGATGTGGTAGAAATAACAGGTTCCCAGCTCTGATCAATGCCTCATGAGACCGGACCATCTCCAAACCTGACTAGAACTGGGTAAACAAGCCTGGGCTGCTGGCAACAGGACCACCCTTGGCCTAGCTGATAACCAGTCAGTCTGGAGCAGAGCCTTCTAAACAACCTAATGCTGGACACAGCATATTCACATAGTTTAATGATGGGGATATGGTCTGACAAAGGTGTCCTTTGAAATTTCATTATAGGATACATATATTAAGATGGTTATGGCATCACTGGGCAATGTCATGTCATGAGACCACTATAGAACATGTGATCTATTGATGACTAAAATGTCTTCATATGGTGCACAGCTGGGAGAGAGCTCCATCACGGCCAGAAGAACCTCCTGCTGAGCAGTCAGATGGCCCAGTCTCTGGATCATGAGCTAAGCATTTGGCCATCATTTGAAGCTCCTGGGTTCTAGGCTGGTTTTCTACCCAGCAAAAGCTAATAGACCCGTGACCAAGAAATAGGGTCATGTCTCCTGAAGAACACACTCAACCCAGTCTGGCCTTCCGCTGTCCTCCATCTCTCCATAGGTAATAGGGCTAAGTCCTAGCTGCCAGCTGGCCACCTCCCCCTTCCCTGACCTTCTATCCAGCGGCAGAGTGAGCCTACCTTGAGACTTGCCTCCTCAGCAAAGCTGTACCCACAGTCACATATGCCTGGACCTGTGGGCTGTTACCTCGGGTTCACCTGCCACCCAGCACCCAGTAACAAGATCTCAAGATGCAAGTGTGGCTGGGGGTGACCGCGAGGCCTCAGGCTCTGCCCAGCTAACCTCAGAGGGCCTCAGACTAGGAGACCAGGCACTGGCCACCTGGGCGATAAGAATGCCATGTAATCATATAATTAACAGTCCACTTGGCTGGTGATTCTGGGTTAGCACCACCCGTCAGGGCACGAAGACTTCCTGTGTTCTCAGCCACAAAAATACCATCCTAACTTGACCCCTTCACAACACAAGCCGATTCACCCCTGCCTAGGACTCTGAGGCAATCTGAGAAGGGCACTGACATTAATCCTCAGGGAGTTCACTGAAGCATTCTTGACACTGAACCACACACAGCAGGGCAGCTTAGCAAGTGCCACTGCGCATGTGATGGTGGGATGTCGTCAAGGCATCCATTCACATCGCAGTGTGCTTCTCTGCAGAGTGCTTTGTCCTCACTCAGTCACAGGGGGCCACTCGGGGCCCCACCCACAGAAGGAAACTAAGCCAGACTGTCCCGAGACTTGGTTACTCGTTTATCAAGTTTCTTGGGCACTGGGGTTGGTGAAGAGTCCCCAAGTCCCTGCGTGAGGCCGGTGGCTGCTGACCTTCTGGGACTGCAGCACTGGATCAGCCAGTGGCAGGAAGGAGTGTGAAGTGGCCGAGGGCAGGACAGTGAGGGGGTGACCCATGGCTGGGATCTGGTCCCCAGCCTGTCACCAAGACACATGGACTCTGCCCATTTCACAAGCCCACCTTGCCACCAGCCCCTCCATCACGCCTGGCAACAGCTTCTAGCAACCTGTCCAGAGACCTCCCCTGACTCTGCTGACCTGCCCCCTCCTTTGGACATGGCATCAGCCCCCAGGCAGTGGCACTGCCATCTGAATTCCTGTCAGGCTTCCCTCTCCTGGACCACAGCCAGAACAGGAATGCAAGCCTGGCCCTTGCTCCCCTATCCATTCCTTCACCCACAGGTACTCCATGTAACTCGTACCCAGACCCTGGCCAGGCCTTCTGCTTCCCACCGGGAAGGTCCTGTTACATATCTTAATATAACTTGGCCATCCAGCCACATAGCAGTCAGGCTGTTGCTGGGAAGGGGTTACAGATGTGACTCCTGGCCATATCAGCAGACTCTGAGAAGGCCCTCCACCTTGAGGTGAGCCTCATCCAACCCACTGAAGGTCTGAAAGATGGAGGCTGTCCTCGGAAGAAGGAATTCAGCCTGCACTGGCCTTCAGATTCAACACTGCCTGACTACCCAGGTCTCCATCCTCCGGCCTCTGCAGAATTCAGACTCTCCAGGTTCTACCATCTCAGGAGCCAGTTCCTGATCTCTCTCTCTCCCCCCATACACACACACACACACACACACACACACACACACACACACACACTCACAAAGTTACTCATCACATAACATCAAGTCTTTGTTCTAAGAAACTCATAGTTAGGTAATTCTGACATTGTGCCAACATCATAGGACACACTGAGACAACGAAACAAGGGTGACCACAACATCACCAGGTGACAGTGTTGTGAGAACACAGTAGATGTGCCATCTGTTGCTGACTGAATCATATTTGTATGTGTGTGTGAAAGAGTTTGTGTGTGTATGAGTGTGTGTGAGCACATTATGTGTGTTTGTGTGTGTGTGTGTGTGTGTGTGAGTGTCAGAGTGTATGTGAATGTGTGTATGTATGCATATATGTATTATGTGTGTGAGTGAATAATGCATG